ATAAACGTTGCGAAAAGTGCCTTTCCCAACGTTGATTAAACAATAAACGTTGCGAAATATAAACTTTTTTGCAACGTTTAATAAATGTTGCGAAAAGTAAAGAGGCCTAACCCGCGAAAACTAAAGAGGCCAGGCTTAACCCGCGTCTTACAACCCAGGATCCTTGCATTTCGTTTCTCATTCTCCTCAACCCTAACCTTCTTCCTTCGATTGAAATCTCCAAACGAACCAGACGACTTGACGCTATGCTGAAGCCGTTCCAGATCCAATTCCTCTCTTCTTTCATAGTTCCCATCATTTCCCTTCCTTCCTTTCTGACTTTCCCTACACTCTTTCTAACAGCGACGTCCGTGCGCGACTTCGAATCGCTCTTCAAGGTCATCAGGTCTTCATCTTCTTGTTTTTGGTTTTCTCTTTGGACGAGGGAGTGGGATGTAAGAAACGAATCCTCCAATTTTTGCAGCAACAAAAGAACTGAATTTAAGTAGTTTTGCTAGGTAGATTTTTTATTCTCTGTTTCTCGCTCCAATTTTTGAGATTTGATTGTTTAATTTTTGGGAATTTNTGAATTTTTTATTCTCTCTGTCTGGCTCTAATTTTTGAGATTTGATTGTTTAATTTTTGGGTATTTGATGACAATTTGTTATTTATCCTAAGTTGTGGAGTTATTAATAATGAACTTTGATTTTTCATATTTGGGATTTATAGAGACAATATCCATTATTGTATACAAGAAGAATGTTGATAAACATAAAAGAGCACACCTTGTTTTACTAACTATTCAATATATTTTTGAACTAAGTGTTTATAGTTAGCCTAAGATTTGCAGCTACTGATTGCAGGGACTTGTCATTAAACCCTGGCATCACAGGTCCCCTTTCTCCACAGCTTGGAGATCTGTGAAATTTGAACATATTGTAAGATCTACTAACCTAACTCTGTTTGTTGTGGATTCATAATAGTGTGATAGCTACTTAGTCAAGAAACCTGTGCAATCTCATTCTTGGAA